ATCATGCACTCGATATTATGATATTTAGATATTTCAACAATTCTCATAATTTTTGCAAAAGGCTGTATGACTCACATATATCTATTAAAAACAATTTGGGGAAAATATTTGTTTTGGAATTGTCCCACGTCAGAGAAATATTGATTCAAAAGATGGAAGAACAAAAGGATGGAGTAAATGACATCATCTACTCCAACATTTTTTGCCCAAATTATTAAGGATTTGTATCAATTTCTTCTTAAAATCTGTTGCATGGGTTATTAGACCCATATGGATAGGTCTATTTGATTTCCAAGTCTTTTCTAATGTTTCACAATTTTCGTCCAAGTAACATTTGTGTAAAGAAGATAAGTTTAACACCGTAAAAAAGTATGGGAAATAACTTACTGACGTTTCGGATGTTAATTCTTCGTCGGAGTAAAGAGGTAAAAAAGTATGGGAAATAACTTACTGACGTTTCGGATGTTAATCCTTCGTCGGAGTAAAGAGAGAGAAATAGGTATACTCCGACGAAGGATTAACATCCGAAACGTCAGTAAGTTATTTCCCATACTTTTTTACGGTGTTAAACTTATCTTCTTTACACAACTGTTTCTTTAGAAACACCGACACAGCTCACACTAGTTTACCGCTAGTTCCCACCATTTCGTCCAAGTAGCCCTTTAATAGGTGACAGGAAGTTTGTCGCTTGGTGTCATCATATATTTCCCACAAAACGTTTATAAATTACATTTTTATAAATTGCAAATGTTTGTTTTTGTTCACAGGTTTCCAATGAAAAAGATAATGATGACATAAGTTATGATGATTTTATGGAAATAGCAAGGGATGTTAAGGAATTTGGTAAGATTATTATTAGTGGTAGGAATGGACAAAATTTTGGAAAAAAGTTAACATTTCAATATTCACGACTTTCAAAAATGGCACGATATGTCACGGTCGTCAACCAGGGCACTGGGGACGAAGCACTAAAACAAGGTCTCAAAGGCCAGCCTCCGTATAGTGAGCTTCCATGGTGTCTTGCAAGAGTGTTTTGTTATAAATAACATACCAATACAACTTTAAAACTTTTGGACACTGCCTACATACGATCTTCATAGTAATTTCTTGATGGAAGGCCTTTGAGGTGTCGTTTCCATGATTCGTCACTTGTCCCCAATATAGGCAGACAGTCGTGTATACATGTAGCATATGTAACAAAAAATGAATCCTCCATAGAATTCCCACTACAGAAATTACAAAAAGTTCTGAAATTCCACATTCATGGTTCCAATATGGTACAGG